GGGTTTTAAACTTTTTAGTTCAGTGAAATACCACAAAATATTCTCTAAAATTATTATATCCATCAGGTACAATGACCCCTTTGACTGTGGTACCAAATGCAAATTCACAAACATTTACACAGCAGATCTGAGTGTGCATTAGAAATCAGCAACTGAAAATCTATTTTGCTTACCTTGTCACCAGCAATGTGTTACTTAGTGCCGTAATTCCCTTTCCTTCTTCAATACACTTCGTAAGTAGGAGTAGGGTCCCTAGGGTAAAAAGAGCTTAACATCCACCACAACGCTCAGTCTTTTGCTTCCCTTCTTCTTGGTGCTCACAAGTGTCACAGTCCCTGACAGTCCTCACAAAAACAACTGAACTTCCTTCGACGGCCTTCTCCTGAATCTTTAATAGCAAGAAACAAATTCCAAATGAATAGCAATAGCAAAGTCTACCCAGAGACAAACTTTTAACCGGAATTTTCTGACCAAACTAATCTTTACCCAACAATGCACTTTTTCTGGAACAGTAGACTCCGAAATTGCAAATTCTCACTGCATATGCTGCCAGGTAAAGTCTTACTGATCTTAACACAGTTTGACCTGTGATAAAAAGCACTGCAGGGTGGCAGAAAAGGGGAGGAGATTAAACCCTTTATCCTATAACTGTATACTCTGATAGTGTTCAGGTATCGTTATCACAGTCTGAGCTTTTTATGAGTGCAATGCAGGCACAAACAATTCTTGCACCTCAGATGTTCCCAAGCTGCACTCCTCATCCTTACAACGGCCATTAAAATGCCATATACTTGCACAGTTCTTGCAAAAAGAGTTATGAAGACGACATGCAATAATGCTAAATTAGAGAAGAGAATCACATGTGATCATCTAGGAATGAATCCTGGTGTAAATGCCTAACGAAGAGCTTTTCTCCCCCACACTACCCGAGTCCTTGGCATGACAATGCGCTGCCTGCAGACCCTGCAGCACGTTCTGCCTCCTGAGCTGTTACAGCAGCCGCATCTGAGTGACAGCGAAGGAGGAAAAGGCACAAATTAAGAAGTTATGGAGAAGATGCTCGTGCCATCCAGTAAGACAATTGCTATGCGTTGTACCTAGTCAGAAGCATTTTGCGTGGTCTCAGAAATCACGCACTATGTCTACAAAATCATAACCAAGCTGTGAGGCAGGAGAGTGATAGAGAAGCTAAGGGACATCACCTCCACAGAAATCTCTAGACAAACCAAACCCCCATCCTCCACCTTGGAGACACCATCTCCAATGAATTTTGTTGCAAAATTCAAGTTTGTATTACAAGCATGAGGAAAAAATTATCATCTCAGCCTCAAAGGAGTAAATTTAGCATTGCCTGTACCTCTACCCTTTTAGAGAGGACCAAAACCTTGGGATTGTGTATCTTTAAAAAGTGAAGCCCAAGATGGTATGCAATTCATCCTGAGACTAAGTGAAAAAGAAGGAAAAAGAACAATTGGTTGTGGACAAGGTTAGTGAATTCTCCATCATAAATTAAATTTATGCAGCATATTAAACTTCAATATTTGAAGGTGCTTTTTTTTCTTTCAGACTGTTTTAAAATGACATCTAACAAGAGGAATGAGGACAAAGCAGCTGGCTTTAAAATAGAACTTGACAGATTTATGACCAACATTATATAGTACTTTTTAACTTCTACAACAGAAAGCCAAACTTGATGACCCAGGAGCATCTTTTCAGTCCTACTTTTTAGCACTAAGGTTGCTGCTGGGAAGTGGTTCTGTTCCTGAAGCACATTTCCTGCTAGTCTCTTGAAAGCAACATCTGCCCAGAAGAGTACGAGGAAAACCAAAACAGTGGAGCGAAAAATGACAAAGTGAACAAATGCACTGAATCATTATGCAAAGCTAGAGGAGTTCCCACAGCTCACAAGCAGAAACTGCCTGCAAAACCTCTTCCAGAGGGCACTGGTTAGTCCTGTGGGAAGATGAGCCAGACCGAGCATGGCAAAGCAATATTCTCAAGCAGAACAGCTAGTGCCTCCTCCAAAGGTAAGTGATAATCCCTGCTGTGCCAAATGTGGTTGTGAGTATCTCACACATTAAGTCACATTTATTTTATCTCCCCTTCATACTGGAATAATCTAAAACTTTGATTTGTGGGAAGCTTGTCTAGATAACTTTTTCGTTCCCCACGCAATTCAGAGAAGCACACACAGTTTCTTTGTAAAATAAAGAGATCAGATAACACCTGCAGAATCAGTAAGGCATGTCTTCCCTTGACATACAGTGAAAGATCTGAAAAGAACATTAAGAAGGAACATTTCAGCGGTAATCTAGATGAGATTATATGAAGAGATAATGCTTAATCAAGACTGATACTATCTCATTTTACTGTCTGGATAAATAAAAATTCTGACACCAGAACACTGTGAAACTTCATACTTACCACTTTACGTCAACTCAAGATAGAGCTTAAATTGAGCTGGGCACCTGGCACATCTTACAGACTTTTAAACAAAACTTTTTATTGGTATTAAAACAAGAAGCTTCTAAACAGAAATAAGTCAATCTAAGCTTTTCTTCATTTCTTTATAGGCTGAGAAAGATCAAAACAAGTGATTAAGACATTTCCTTGCTTCAGTAACAAATATACAAAGTTTTATTTTATTAGATTGGTTTTGTGTTTGTTAACATTATTGTATCAATTATAACCCACATTCACAGCAGAAATTTTCTAACAGCATTTTGCAACGCTAACTGCTGTATTAGGAATCCTTAAGAGAAATTTATCTTTAGCTACTCAGGTAACTTGAATAATAAAGTGCAAAACCACAATAAAATTTGACAGACATATGCCCCAGCTCATATTCAGTGGAAAATAAAGTTTGTAAGACCACTAGATATGGATTCACTGCACACAATAGAAAAGTGTCACCTGAAGACATCAGTTTTCAAATTTTCCCATTACCAGACATTGATTACAATGAATCGTTTTCCACTATTTTTAAGGGTAACAAAAAGAAATCACAAGAAGGTTACAAATAAAACAAAACATATTGGCCAGACTACCTAAAGCCTAGCCCTATACTTGGTACCTTTTACCCAATAAAGGTTTTAAGAAGAACTGATGAACAGGAACAGTTCATGTCTTCATAGCCTCTTTGATCTTTAACTTCACGGAATCAATTAGCAGGACCTAACACAGCATCTTGTTTGGGACCCAAGTCATAAACTTTTTTATTTTTTTTAATACACCTGCAGACATAAACATAATTCAACTAATAAGGATTGCCAACACTAGCTACTGTCTCTCTCAACCCAAGAAGATAGAAAAATCTCATAATTTTAGTGGAATTAAGTCCAATTCACAAAGTATAACCCAAGCTTTCATGTCTCTCCTTACAGTCACTGGTGCAGTCTCCCCAAGTACCAACCACTCCTTTCAAGACAAATGAAGTATCAGAAGCTCTGGGTGCCTTTCCCTTTCTTCTACCTAATTAGTTTTCATTAAGCCCTTTGGTGCTACGCCGTAAGTTAACATCATCTGCAAGGAAGACTACTCAACCTTTTTACTCACAGGCTTCAAAAATGCAAATTAAATATTACTCTAAATTAGTCAGGCTGCCTCCTTTGTAACTGCTAACATTGCTTCCCTTCTACCACTTTCCAAGAAATAAGTTTAGCATGCTAAGGTTTAATAAATAACAAAAAGTTTTAACTATAAATTGTTTATCCCTTTGTCATGTTACTAAGCTCAATTTGCTAGTAAACACAAAACACCACTGTCAAAACAGAAAACAGCCTGAACAGCAAGCTTTAAGGACCATGTCCTGTTTATAGCTTTATGTAACCAAGAAATTCACAACATACATTCCAAGAACTCATTTTTACATAATACTCTCCTTCACATTGTTATCTTTCACTACAATCAGTACTTTCATCAAGGAAACATTTCCATGCACAGATATACAGCAGAACATCCAGTGCTATTTTGGAGGGCTGCAGATATCATTTTCTCCTTTTAGATTATTTAAGCAGATAACCAAATTCAAAGACCCAGCTGTTGAACTCTAGATAAGGCACTTGCCCCAAATGAGCAATACGGCACCAGGCCAGTGTGCAAGAAAAGTCTGGCTGTACCCTTTCTTCATCATTTATACCTAAACAAGGAATAGTTCTGTAGCAATTGTGCTCTTTCAGTCTGAAGTGATCCTCCTGCAACAGCTTGTGCAGCTTTATAAACTGCTTCACATTCTTCCCTAAACTTACTAGTTATGGCCATGTAAATATTTTGAAGACTTGTAGAAGTTTATTCTATAACAATTCTATTTCAAAACAAACTCAAGGTGCACTTCAAAGGGGCATGCAAGATATTCATTACAACAACTTGTGAAATATTGCCATGAAATCACAAGGATAATACTTGAATCTGTCCATCAGCAGTTCTTAACCATCCACACAGACAAGTTTTTTCAATCGAGGTCTCACATGATTTCAGTCCCTGAAAAAAATAGTTGCCTTATGGCATGCATAGTATCACTATTGCTACCTGGAAGAGTTCTATCTTCTCTCCTCCTCCCTCCCAAAAGGTACCAATATAAAACCCACTTATCTTAATATTTTAAATTCACCCTTTGCTGCATAGTCAGCTGCATATATTTAAAGTAATCCTCTGCTCAAAACCTTGGAGTATGCTAGGAGTAAAACCTGTTAACTTACCACTAACAGAAGTTAAGAAAGAAGTGAGATACAGTTTCTATCAAAAGCAAAAGCACATCTCACTTCTGGAGTTCTTTATTATTTTGTCAAAGACATTTTAATAGAATTATTCTGGTATTCTGGTCTGGTATTAGATCACAGCCAAAATCTCAGCTTTAAGGAAAAAACCTCATTTTATACTGTTTTGAACTGCCAGTAGCTTTAAGCACCCAAATAATTTTAATTTTTCCATTTAATGAATGTTCTGCAGTTTTAGAAAGATGAGTTATGCATTTTTGTTCACATACAAAAAGACAGTCTAACAGATGTAAACTATTTATTGAATATTTGCCACCAATATTGTTAAATACATAATCTTGCAGTTTTCCGCTTTCAAGTTAAAATGTCAGAAACAGAACACCAAATATTTACAATTCTTATAAGGAATGTTACATAATGACACATTAAGGCGTAAATTCTTTTGGCTTATAATTCTGAAAAGAATGATAATAGCAAAAAGTGATGCAAAATCTTCATTGTGAGATTATGATTAAGCTACAATGTTTTACAAAAATATGGTGTAAGATGGCAATAATCCCATTCAAAATCCTGCATTAGGCCCCTCAAGAGGGGCTGATAATTTATACAGTCAAAACTTTAAAATTTACATATAAAGGTACCCTATCCACCATTGAAAAGTACAACTCTCAACATATACAGTTTTCAGGCCACAGTTTTGAAGGTCTGGAGTATCAAGTTGGTTTGATGAATTAGTCGGTTGGCACTTATGAACACATTTATTGCCCTGTTAAAAGAGAAAGATACTGCTTCAGACTTTTTTAGAAACATGTCATTCAATAAATACAGCATTAAGTTTGGGCAACTAAATATATTGGCATCTAAGCTCTGCAAATTGGAAGCATATTGATGTTCTACCATATCGTGATCTACCTGAAACTTACTGCTGGCAAACAGATAGTTTTTCTAGTGTTAGCTATGCAAATAAGTCTATGTTTATTGGCAGAACTTAAAGACTTTGGCTCTCAATCATCATTGACACCTCAATCATTTAATTCTGGCGTTTTAGCTAACGAAGAAAGAGTGGAGCAGATGATCATTAAACGCCTGTTCTTTTCAAAGCTGAACATTGCATCCCCCAGTAATTTCAGAACTCGCAACTTTTTCCTCAAGAAATACTAAGCATGCACGCATATAGAAGCAACATACTATTTTAGTTATCTTTTTGTTAAGAAAGAGGTGTGGGGTCACTGAGTTTTTCAGCTCAGTAATGACATCTGTGAGCATGACTTTTGTTTAGTGCTGTTACCTTCTGGTGGGAGCAGGGTATCTTATTCAATATGCAGTTCAGACAGATTTAAGTTACTTCTGATTCCACAAGCATACGAAATACAAGCCTTACCTGGGATTTCTTGCAATATTGGTAACACTTAACACACTTTAAGCTTATGCCCACAATACACAGCACAGCATTCACTTCACATAGGTCTCTTTCAGTATGGTTGGGGTACATGCACAACACATACAACTCTTAAAAAGTCAAATAGTTTTCTAATCAACTAAGACTGTTTAGACCTAGTTCATGTGAAAACTTACCTACACATCTCTTCAGTAATCATAAAGCTACCAAGGTCTAAATTTCCTCATTTTGGTATCATAACCAAATTTAGCCCCAATTTCGGTAAGAGGAGGAAAAAAAAAAAGAATGCTTTGATAGGAGCAAGGTAGTATTCACAGCTGGTCTCAAAACTTCTCTCTCCTTTAGTAATGCACCATCCCCTGAGTGCTTTTAGTCTTTGCCAAGCTCAACAAGACCAGACATGAAAGTTAGTTCTCATCTTTAAAACAGTGGCACACAGAACACTTTGGCACTGTCAAAACCTGAGCGGGATACACTCATCATCTGAAACAGTCACGACAGTGAAATATATAAGAATAGTGACTTCAAAACCCAAGGTGAAGACCTGAAAAAAGCCTCGGTTTGAAGGCTAAAATGTTCAAATACAAAAAGATTAATCAGCTGAGTAATTCCAAATACTGTGAAGCACTATAAGGAGCTATGAAGAAAGGCCAAGAAAAATGTAAATCAAAGAAAACACTACACAAATGTTTAGTGTTTGCAAATGATATTTCAAATAGGTAGACTAATTTTTTCAATAAAGCATTCATAACATTTTTGTCCTTGTATATACACTGAAAAAACCCCACAAGGCCATGAAATTTAACTTCACATATTCAAATTCAAAGCTAATACTGCACATGGGTGTTGTATGGTGGTGCATTTAACAGACTTCCCTTTCCTCAAAGGCATTACAAAAGGAATAAAAGTATTTTAAAGCAGCCATGATGGTCTGAGGACACAGGTGAGGAAAAAAATTAGGCAAGTCCTGAATAAAGTAGCTTATGCCCAAAACCTTGTCTTATTTTCCCGCTAGTCAACAAGACCTTTCATTACGTAAAATGTTACTACAAAAACATACTTACTTTCCATCTTTAAAATAGGTTTTCAGAGTATCACTGAAACTTTTGGAGTATTTTACAAACTCTTTCTTTTGGTGCTCAAGTGCCTAAGAAACAAAAAGACCAGGAACAGAGTCTTAGTTCACATATTGTTTAGTACAGTCAGAATCTTGATGTTAAAGTGAGAAGAAGATTGGCTAACACTATGTACGTATAGGAATTTTGATTTTTTTAGAAGACATGCAGAAAAATCACCCTCTTCCTATAAAACTGCTGAGACCTACCACACAACAATCCTTTAACAATGTTGTTGAAGTATTATGTCATTGACCAGTTAAGCTCTCCTATTCATCCTTTTATCAAAAGGATGTGTTTCTTCCCTTACTATTAAAAATATTGTATAAAAAGAGTTATTGCACATACCCGCCGGTTCTGGTATTGGTATTTCTTGAAGACATTATTTACTGTGTCGAGAAGTTCCTTTATTGCACTCGCGATGTCCCTATTTGGCAATAAAAAGATAGTTGTAATATCCTTAAGCTATCCTATTTAAATGTTGGAATTTAATCCCCTTCTAGTAGTCAAATACTTCTTAAAACAGTCTCTACAGAATAAGTGTCAGGCAGGATATAGGGAGACCAAATGCAAAGAGCTAGACCAGTGACACGAGAATTCAAACTAGGAATCAGCAAGTGAAGTTCGGTTTAGTAATGGGGCTCTCGTTAAAAATCCTCAACCCTGTCCGCTCATTTATAAGCGAGGATCAGGCTCCTTTACAGTGGGAAGAGTGTTGCTAGCATCTTCTACAGCATTTGAACATTCAAATTTAAATACAAAGTTCGACCCCTCAATCTGCAGAAAAATACATAATACAGTACTTACTTGATTGTCTGAAGAAACCTCACTCTGTCATTGATCTCATCAGGAATCTTACTAAGAATCTGTTTAAGTGCTCGTGCCTTTTCATTAAGATCTTGGAATTCTGGTTCTGGTCTTTCAATCATATACTCTAACAAGAACAACATATTCAAAAGTACCATTAGTTTTCCCTCAAGTCTCTAGTGACAGCTAAAAACCACTACTTCACAAAATGCAGCAGTATTGCCACGTTATGTTTGAAGGTGAACAGCACAAAAATAGCCATGACCAGAAAACTGCAGTGAATACACTCTGCATCAACAGAAACACAGTGCAACAATAATCTTTATTACTGCAAGTTGGAAAAAGAGCCCATCTTACTTTATTTAAGCGAGACACTGAAGACACTACACTAATCAAATACAGTATTAAAGTAACTTAAAGCCTACTGTATGCTCCCCTTCTCTGACAGTATAACTACTGCTTTTAATTTGGAGAAAAGGAAGGTGAGTATTATACTCCATATATGCTTTTTTTCTGGTTGTTAGCATTGCAAAAGGTAAACTATGCATCCACATAAACATTCATTTTCTTTCTCTCTCTTATTAGTCAGGTATGTTTTTTAGGGAGATTTAACTTCTCCAAAAGAGGCATTCAGAAAATATACCATCCTGAAAAAAAATCTATTAAGAAACAAATAACTTCTAAATAGGCATAGAGAAATGCACGTTCTTAGTTAATAGTGTAATTAAAAATACACTTATCCAACACAAGAGATAAAATATTACCTTCTACATCATCAGCTGCCATACGCAGAAGAGACTCTGTGAAGTTCACATCCACGCTTTTTTTCTCCAGAATTTTCATAATGATATCCTGTGTAAGACCTGGATTTTCTTTTTCAGCCTGCATGGCAAAGAAAATTTTTATTCTTAAATATGCAAGGCCTGAATATTGCAAGCACAAAGGCAGATTTTCATGTAACTTCCTTCACACACTGCAGGAGTTTGCTAGAAATTTTAAAAGTCTAATGGCTTTAGACTAGCAGATTACACTGAAAACCGTTCTTCCACTACAACATCCATTCTTCTTGGATTAATCAGTGATTTTGTATAAACAACTTTTCCAATATGCCTTTCCACTCATTTCATTTTGAGTAAGAAAGTTTTTCATGAAATTCAATATTCTGTTATATTTTCATAAACACTAAACCTTGAGACAAAGATTGTATCCACTGGGATTTAATTCACTCAAACACAGGTGCTACTCCCCCATCTTCCACATGACAGTCTATAAATGTGCTTCTTGTGAATCACATCATATGCTCAAACATCATCTTGGAATTGCTTTTTCAGAAAAAAAAACATTTGATTGATGACATATCTAAGTAAAGCTAAGCTAGACTTCCTTTGGAGGTATTCACATTACCTGTGCTGCTGTCAAAAAATTATGCTGTGTTGAATAAGAACGAGGGTGTGCGGTTTTTTAGCTAGCACTACCATTTCTACCAATATCTCCATTTTTACATTATTTGCATTCAGCTTAGCTCCTTACCGCCAGTCGTAAAAACATTTAACTTATACGAGCTCTAGTTGAGACCTAAGACTGTCTAGGTACACTTAGATTTAAGTGTAGAAACAGGGAAGTATTGCTTAGTTGCACAGCTCACATGTTAAGATATGTCATGCCTACAATTATTTTTGTTTAAAGAATTTCAAAAGATCACCACTTCAGTAAAGCAGTATAAAGGAATATCTGTATTTTCATTCTTTAGGAATATAACAGAAAAGTTAGAAGTTAACAGTTTCCATTTACTGCTGGATGCAAATACAAACATTGAACTTATCCTCATCCACAAAAAAATCCCATTACCATTCACTTTGTAAACCATTTTCAAAGTCTGCTACATGCCTGTTTCTCATGAGCACCTATTCTACATAATCTTGTCATACTTAGACTAAGTTTATTATCTTATTACCTTCACTGACCTCATTTAAGCTTTTGTACTACATGGACAAGACAAGATTCTGTTTGTTTAAAATTGCTCAATATGCTTGTATCATTCAGATTTCTACTCATAACATTTGCAGACATCTCAAACTTACAGTCCATGCAATTGTCCACTTTATTTTTAGACTGTTGGATCAAGGATGCAGTCTTCAAATACAAAGACACAAGAAAACAAGACAGCTCACTTTTTAGCTTCATCGTATATGGTTTATCTTTTAAACAATCATTCTTCGATACAAGTTACTTCTCACCTTAATAAAAGCTGCTCTCAGTGTCTGTGCTGCAGATAGATTTACTCTTTCTAGCTGCAATAAAAGTTTAGAATTATTAGCAATTCTAATGTTATCAGAACAAAACAAGTCAAGTACTCATGCCTTGCCTTATATAGCATAATGAAAAAGGAAATTGACAGAAGCATTCAAATTACTGGTCTCATTTGAAGGAGAGATACTATAAAGTCTGATCCCAAAGGAAAGACCTTCCCCCCAATATAAAAACATTAAAATCAAACATGTCACTGGACATATTTTGCATTTATCCAGCCTATAGCAGAAATCTGATAGAAGCTTTTAAGAACATCTTGACCATCTCTGATACTCGCAGAAAAACAAATATCCTATTAAATTATAGCCATTAGCAGTAAAATTAAAATATATCAAGCTGTTCACAGGAACATGTTCAACTGAACATTACTTCCTGCCTTAGAAATGCAGGACCTAGCATTTTTGTGAAAATCCTCTGTAAAAGGTAAGAAAAAAGATCAGGGCCAAGACAACTAGCAATCTTTGACGAGCATGAAATTGTATTTATGGAAAGAAGGGTAAAACAACGCATAGAAAGAAGATGGTATTAGACACAAAGCTTTCCCAATGAAGATGAGCAACCTGTTACTGTGATCATACTTCCCAATGTAAAGGGGATTATTACATTCAAAAGCAAAATGTAGCTTACCTCATTAAAGACAGGGTACATAACAGCATAAAGAGGCATGGAAACCATAGAAGTGGTCTCTGCTTCATTCTTCATCTCTTCCATTGTCATCCTCATTCAAAGACCCACTTCTCAAGGAAAACACTATAGAAGCAAAGAACTCCGCATTCACTGGAACGTTTCTTCTTTTTCCTCGTTGTGCAAGAATACTTGAAGAACTCGAAAAATATATTGTCCTTAGGTCGTGCGAGGAAAAAAAAAAAACAAAAAACCACAATTATGAATGCTCAGGACTGACAGGTTCTAAAAATGAAAAGGCACAGAACAACATTAGTTCGTTACTGCCTAGAAACTAGGAATTACTTATGACATGAGTTCAGTAAATATGGAATGACTACGTCCTGTAACTTCAAAATCCTAAGTGAAATCTGTTACGCGAACAGATATTTTGAAGAATAAGGTACTACCAAAAATGTTTTATTTCAAGTTCTTATAGAATTAATTTTCCTGAAAGAAGTGATTTTATTTGATGTGTATTACAAAAATCTTGCCACCCCTCATAAGCAGCAGCATAAGATTCCTGACAACTCACACGTATAAAAAGCTTGAAAAGCATTACATGCTGTAAACCCAAAACCCATACAGATGCATTATGACAATTAACATTACCTATAAGTACTCCATATTTTTGCATATTCATCAAGCTGTGATTCTGCTGGAGATCAGTGCCTACTTTCTGCCCATTTGAATTCCAAATGCTACATCTTTTTTTTATATAAGCAGAAGTCTTAAGTCATGTTTCCACTCAGGGTGTGTCAACAGCTATGGTAACTCAATGGAAAATTATTGTTCCAGTAACTGAATCTAGGTTTTGGAAGTTCTCCACCCAGTCCAGCTCATCATATCCAACACAGGGTGATCATTGCTCAGACCTTGAAATTATGTGGAAAAGAAAAAACGTCACCCTACAATTCATAAGAAGTCTTTGTTACAGCCTGCTATATTTTCTGTTCATAAGATTCTTTTAAAATATTTTATATAACTGAGTTTAAAGACCTAAAGTCCAAGTTAGAAATAAAGATACACAGAAAGAAATTCAGAGGTTTAAGTTTTAGATTTGCTTGGAGTCTTTAATGCACTAGAGGAGATTTTTTCCTACTAACAAGCTTCAGACATCAGGCATTTGAACATTCGTGTACTGATTTTATTCACATTTTAGTAAAAAGTGAAAAAAGTTAGATTTTAGGAATAGCAAAAGCTACTACAGTAATCAATATCACTACCCAATAGTTGGAACAGGTTAAAAAATGCCAAGATATTTCTTTAAGCTATGTTCCTCATTATGCTCTGCACTGGCTAAAAATCTTCAAGCTGTTTAAACAGAAGAACACACATTCTTTTTTGCCCAGGGCAGGTATATAGTAGTTTAGCTATAATTATACAACTGAAATTTGTTATTGATTCCAGTAAGCACAGAGAAGAACTTGGATGACTACAAATACCATGCATGTCTCATCTGAGCATGTGATTAGGTAGCACGAATATACCCAAAAGTGAGAAAACAAGTGAAGAACTGGTCACACTACAGAAACAGCCAACCATTAAAACATGATTTAAAGAAAAATTAAACACGAATAGAGTAACAAGCAACAGCTCTTTATACAAGTCTTCTGACATGGATTACTTATTGCAAAATCTCATCTTTGTTTCTCTTACTGTTCCAACCCTTCAATGTGACATATGTGAGCAGATTCCTATAGCGACAGAACAGGATTACCGAGACTTTAAAAAGGGGCCTATATAGATGAGATATGTCCACATGGATGGAATTGCAAAAATCAGGACTCTCACATTTTTATCACCTACTCAGATATTTTACAGCTGTCAAGAGCATGGGAGAATACAAGCATATATTCATCATTCCTCAAAAAGTTGAATATCTTTAAAGAACTTGTTTCAGAGTTAAATAAATTCATGCAAGGTCTCCCCACATGGGGGGGAAGGGAACTTGTCTAAACAAGTTTTCACTCACAACTGCAAGTACAAGCTGTCCCATTTATTATACATGCATATTCCCTCCACTAAAGACTCTGGCATGTAAAGGGCAGAGTGGATGGAGAGCTCTTTGTTTTACTGTTTAATTCTGTGTTTCTGGAAGTTCAGTAAAAATACACACTCATGCAAGATACTACACTAACAAGCACCACTGAAAACAGCATTCATAGATTAGTCTACTGCAAGTTTTTATCCAGAGTACTGTATTCTCAAAAGAATAAGTTTTTAAAGCAGTTAAATCAGGTCATCGAACATTGTTCTAGTCTACCCAGAAGACTTTTGATTATAGAAAGAAGAGAAAAAAGGACAAAATAACCATTAGATATAATTACTTTGTTTTTATGGGTTAGCAGTATCCACGAAGAAAAGGAAATACTAACTGAAATGATGGATTTTTATGATGATGAAAACCTATTACACTGTGGACTACCATGAAGAACTCATTTTCTCCTGAAGAGCCATAAGCTATTGTTACTAATCCACAGTACAGTTAAACCCCCCGTATAAAAAAAATTATACGCCATCTATTACCTCTTTACTAGACACTGACAGTCTCCAAACAAAATACAAAACCTTGGATTTATATTAACACAAAGGATACAACTGTTGCGACTGAAGACAAGAGCTAGATTTAAATATACATGCACACAAGAAATACGTAAGAACATCGAATACTTTTGTTGCCAACATATGAAAAGAAATATATTCAATATATCACACTGGTAGTTCATTATTCCAGAAATCTTTCCATTTTCCAGAAGATACAATGCTAGGTAGTGTCATGCTGTCATGCAAGTATCTGACTGCTAACATTGCCACACTATTCGTCTTTGCAGCTAGGGATCAACTTCTTCACATCTTTCAGATATAACTTAGATGCACTGCAGTCTTTGCTAGTGTTAAATAGCAGGGATAAAAATCTTCACAAAAACCTCAATTATTTGCATTACAGAAAGACAGTTTGTCATAGCTGCACTAAACCACAGACAAATATCTTTGAAGAAGGTCTCAGTCCTGATAATAGACCAAATCCCCATGAAAACTGAAGTTTCTGTTCTAGTATTTAGACAAATTATTAGAAAGTCCACTAGCCTTCAAAATGGCCTGACTAAAGCCAAAGTTTAATGCACATTGTCATGCAGCGACTAGGAGCTTTCAGTATTTCTTTTGGTACGTGATCAAAAGCAGCCATCTGCATAGCTGCCAAGCTTTATGGCAACATTGCCTTTGAAAAGCTTAACTTCAGTTCACTACAATCTCAAAAGAATCTTTTATCTGAGATGAGTTTACACTAGTTTCATTTGTTAATGGTTTTTTTTACATTCTCAAAAAAATGGAATAAGATTCCATGAGAAAGTGATTTATTAGAACAGCACAACGTAGTCGCATAGTTCAGAAAATCCTGGCAAATTGCTGTAAGATGCAAAAAAGGTGTTACTTAGCTAGCAAACTTGTTAATTGTTCTGTGGGGGAAGACAAGGAGAAGATAGTAGGATATGCTGTCTGGAATAGACAGACTGCCAAATATTAATCTGCATGCAAGCCTGGTCTTTTTTGTTACAGTGATCCCACAGATTCAACTCTGTGTATGTGTAATTGGAAGTCATGCTTCATGCTACATCGTCAGATGAAATCAACCATCATAGAGAATGTACAGAATGATATAGGGAATTTAAAGAGAATCTAAATTTGAGAACTGTGCTAAGACGCCAGCTAATACAATCCTGCTGCTCAGTCTTAAACCATCAAACACATCAAGCTGCATTCCAAGAGATGTACTAACATGGAGTATATACCTTCACTGTCAGTACAAATCTTACATTCTAACCTTTAAGTTACAGCACTAAAATATTATCCCAGCTATACAGCAAACACTGAGAAAACTGGTACACTTTAGATGAGGAACAAATTTGGAAGGATTCTTTGATAGATGTATTCCCCCATATCCATCCAATGACATTTTAAATTATTCAACTGAAATGTATCAGAAGAAAACTACATTAAGATAAACTTCCTGTAAGCCAAAAACAGTAAATAGCAAAAAACCCCACACTTCCCAAAATGTACAACTACTGTTACGGTATCTAAGGTGATAATTTGCTTTCTCTGATCTGTGTCATTTACTGACAGACTTTTGGTCATGCACTAAAATCAAGTAACAGAACTGCAGAGCTACTTAATAAGAATATAACCATCAGAGTGCAGTAATCTTCCCCAAACCCACATCTGCTCACTGGCCAGCGTGAAAATAAGCAAGGTATCCATGAAAGAAAGGTGTTTGTTAAACACTACCTTTTGAAAGAGTGTTTAAAGAGAAGAGAGCACACTCTCATGATTACAACTTTTAAAGAGTTTTAAAACAACAGAAATATTAGGTATCAGCTGGCAGGATTTCAATCTTCAGTTATGTCATCAGTAGATCTACCCATACACTAATGTTGTTTCTATTCCCTTCTCCAGGCTCCATCTACCTTTAGGTCGGGAAAACTTTAAGCACTTAGTCATTAATACTCTTTTTTAGAAAAGAGAAATAAGGCCTGAGGCAGTGACCTACCAGAATGATTATTTCAATGGCTGGCTTCTAGCAAAAATTACCGCTCTATTCCTGCTAGAAAAGGCTATCCTTACTGCCAAGAAGTTCTGCTCCACTTTTTGCAGTGAGGATTCAAGAAGAGGTTTTACCTTTAACCTGATCTGAGACCCCTGAGCTACCAGAAAAACTAATTTAAGTTCAGGAAGAAAGTGGGGGAAGGAAAACAGCAGCATGAATTCTATCCTGAATTCAGAGGCAAAGAGCTTGGCTCCTATTTGTAAGACCAGTGTGCATGGGAGGAGGGAGTTTAGGTAATTTACTAATTACAGTTGCAAATTTTACAGAAGAAAAAAAAAATTGCCGAGTATGCTCTTTTAACTCTATGCATACCCCACGCATAGCTTGGTAATTAAGTTTCCCTTATTAATGGTCACTTAAATAAAAAAAAAAAAACCCACACTCCTTTTCCTTGTCAGATGGTAATTAACTGCCAGGTCTGTATTTCAGTTATAGACTGTAATTATTTCCCATTGTATAACTTAGACTATATGGTACAAAGCTTAAAGGCTTTGTGCTTCAGATACAGAACTACTTTCCTTCTTTTTAAAACTGAGGTGACTTCATGACAGCATGGTTGAATTAATTGGAATTGGCAT